TTGCTATGACAACATAAGAACCCTTTTTATGCCATCATTATGCCAAAAATCATAACTCAGGAAACAAATGGTAATTTTTTTTAAAAACCGGAATATTTAAACTTTGTATCATAATCTTCTTTTTGACAAAAAAAAAAAAAAGAAAATTTTCTGTAATAGGGAATTAATAAAAATCAATTAAATTTGTTTGGAGTAGATCCCCCTTACAGAGCTTTTTAAATTTTTCCTTAAATKTTTGAAAACATAAATCAAAGCCATATGCAAAATTTGAAGAAATTTAACAGCAGAGTTTTTGATTTTTTTCAGTTTGAATATTAAAATTTTTGAGGACAAATTTTTCCTTTTGCAAGTTCTATTTCATCGAATCTAGAGCGTGCACGCTCATGAAAAACCATTTCTAGCCTCCTTAAATGCTATTTAATTTGGTCATATTTGAAGCTGTATTGCACCTGCAAAGGACATTGGTTAGAACATTTCTATGGCAGTTGTTTCCTTCTAAATAATACCATGTCAAGGTATTATTAGAATATTAATRTTTTTGCAATTGCCCTATTTCACTATGACGTCACATCAAAACAATCTATTGTTTAAACGCAAAGGATCATGGTCATCTGAGGGGGTCAAATCAACGCAAATTCACTGAAAATTGTTCTAAAACTGGTATCAATCCACGAAGAGAAGTAGAATAGCCAGCAAACGCTCAGAATATTATTTAGTACATATTAACACAATCATATTATATCTGGAAACCTGGCCATTTTAGATTAAACTGTTTTGCTAGGAGCTAATTTTAGTGGACTTTCTATTGGATGTGGGGATTCTATCCCCCACATAAACAAGCAGTGACGTCATAGTGAAATAGGGCAATTGGGTGTCTGAAAGTGGTGAAATCTTAATCTTATGACTATGAGGGAACACACCAATGGTCAGYTGGGAGGACTGTGTACAAAATTGTTATAATTCATTTTGCGGCTTTATCATGTCAATCTTGTTAACCGAAAGTCTTTCCAACAAATTGACAGCTACATAAAAATATCATATTATTGATATTTTGGTTTGATTGACAGAATTTGTTTGATGTTATCAAGTTACCATCAGGATCAATGTGGTATATCAATGCACAGCTTTTCTACCTGATGTACCCTTCAAATTCAGATTTACAATTTAATACTAATTATTATCGGCATTCTAAATTCTGTTTAGACTCTATCATATACTGTACCTTGAGCAATCTATAGGGCTTGGTGTGTTCATCTCATAGTCTGACATAGGTGTTGCTTAAGTAAAAGTGCAACAAGAGATGACAYATGGTATTTCAAACCTTCTCTAAGTTAATCGGCATCTTTTAGGCAATTTCAGAAAAATACTTTGGATTCATTTGAAACACATTGGACTTGATCATACGATTATTTTGAATTGAACTCTTAAGATGATATTATTRATATGAGTTAAGAGAGAGTCCCACATATAGAACATTGAATGTGGTGGTAGTGAGTGAAAGTGGACCAAATTGGAAACCAGTAKTCTTACCTATATTGAATTTCTTCAACCATTATAAGAATGGAAWTGATTTTGTTTAAGACACWGRTGYATACCTACTTCATTGYTTTATTTTCACCATTCGGAATTGATTTTCTCAGCCAAATCTGCTCATGAATTGAACTTGATTGAACTCAAATATACCATATGTCACTCTTGCTGTATCCTAGAATAGAGTTTGTATAATATAATGAAGCATAGTACAGATGTTCATRGAAGATGTCTTCTTCATTGTGCCATGGTTTATCATATTCATACAATAACTATTCTTTTGTATATTACTAGTACAGTAGAGAACCATGCTGTTGAGACATTGAACTTTTCAATCAACTAAAAGAAATTCATTCAATTTATTTCGAACCTTATTGAATGCTAAACCAGAAAAGTTCAATGTGATAACCAGTTCTAACTGGTGCTGTAAAATGAGGTGTAAAGCTGGTGTTGTCTTTTACTAAAACACTCGGGAAATAAATTCATTTTAGAAGTACTCTGTTCACAATTGCAAGAAATATTCAGCAAATTGTTAAAACTCTATATTGGCCATACCCAAAATGGGTTAGATTATTTTGACCAGAGACAACACCAGTTTTATGCCTTTTTTAGCATCCTGTACTAGTCTTTTATTCAAGCAACACCTACGTCTTTAGAATCACAAACAAATGGTCTGTCCCTGAGGTCATTAGTTCTTGCTATTCCAAAACCTTAAGGGTGCCCCTCAACACTTTGTTGGGGGGCACGTTTTCTTTAGGGGAGGGTAGGTTTGAACTTTTGATCTCAGGGACCTTCGTCTAACTACCCTAGGGGCAAAAAAATTTGCAAAAAGACTTAGTATATATTTTTTCAAAATTTATGGCTTTTTTTCACATTTTTTTTCTTTTTTTAATTTTTTTTTAGCCAATTTGAATTTATTTATTTATTTTTTGGCCAATTTGAATTTTTTTTCTTTTAAAGCCAATTTCTGAGTTTCTTTGCCAATTTGTGAGCCAATCCTCCTTACCTTGTTTGTGGATACCTGACTTACCTTGATCCTGGCTTGTGGGTGACGGTTTTCTTGCTTATCCAATTTTTCATCTGAGAGCTAGACCTTACCTGGGACTTGAACCTGTACCTTCAACTTACCTCTTGCCATGTATCCGGTGTATCTGTGCTGTAGACTGTCAGTGAGATTGTCGAGGGTAAAGGTTTGAATGTTCCTTAAAACATAACGCTTGTTGTTGTTGGTATGTTAATAAAAAATCTTATGAATATTTAATGTCTTRTTTATTGTCTTCACGAAACAATGGGGTAATGAGCAGAACAAAAGAAGGGGATCAGAGGGCGGGGTGAAGGTGACAGGATAGGCACGAGAGGGATCTTTCGAAGTGGTAAAGTAGGTGCAAGAGGCCAAGGCGTGGCTAAAAGTGCCAGGGCAAATGAACCAAAAAAATTCTAAGTTTTTTGGCGGGAAAATTCGCTTTGTTGAAGAGTAGCCTAAATAAAGAGATAAAGAGCGCATGAAAATTTTCTAAGTTTTTTGGCGGGAAAAAAGTGCGATTTTGAAAAGGGAATGGACACAAAATTAGAGTCTAAAATTCTCAAAAACCATTTAATTTAATATAAAACCAAGTACAATCAAAAACTCATATCACTAAGCCTAGATAACACGAGAAGATCAAAAGAAATAGTTGATTAACCTTGTCCGGTTTAATTACTTGTTTTTTCCTAATACTATTTTCTCTCTTGGCCATTTCTTGACTTTCTGGGTTGACTTATAGCTTTCATTCCTCCATCTGTAAAASAACATATCAGAAGGTTAGTGGCTTCAACAAACAAGATATAACAACAGCGCAAATGTAATAACGCGCGGGAAAAAATACACAAAAAATCTATTTGCGCGTAAATAAATGAAAATGATACGCAAATAAATGTTCCTTTTGATGCATAGTTATAGTTTTCTGATTTTTTTAAATAAAAGCCTAACTGGCAGAGGTAGGCAGAGTGTTGTCTTGTTTCGACCAATCAGGCGAGAGAATACTTTGCGCATTTTGTTGTTGATTATGTACATATCTTTGAATCGAAAATTATCCTTCAAAGTAAACCTTATATATTTATTTAGAATAAAATCTAGAAAGACAACAAATAGCGGACATGAAACATAAATGTKGCCTGATTGTGAAGCAGAACGTAATACATTAAGACAGAGAGAGATGTATGGAAAATATAGATGATGAAGTGATGAAATATACAGACACAGGTTTATCAAAAACGACAGCGTTTCACTTGATTTTCTAAGTTTTATGGTGCTCGCCTACATTCAGTCAAGTCTATAATTCAAGTTACCTTTGTTCCAGACATCCACGTGACTTAATACGGCTTATTTCTTGACTTATTCAGCGTTCTTTCTCGTTTCTTGATTCACCAAGACTTCAAGATGGCGGACTCAACCAGTTCCAACACACCAAATCCCTATAGAAAAAAAAACAGCAAAGGATTATTCTCAATTGGGATTTAAAAGTGAGAAGAAAAAAAAATTAATTAAAAAGTGGCGTGCTGGGCCTCCTGTGTTATTCGCACTTCATACAATACACAGGATACCCAAAATGTGTAGTATTTAAACTCGTTTTTCTCCACATTACCAAATAAACTGGAAACTTTTCTTATGCTCTCATATGATGTATATATATATATCTATCATATGACACAGTTCTATTGACAAAGAAGTTTAAAAAGAACAAAAAAAGAGGAAAATGCTAAAAGCGCTATACCGCTGACCAAAACTGATTTTCCTCAAAAATTACGACCYCTATAAAATCTTTAATATAATTCTAATCAAAAAAATAAGTCCAGAACAATGTTGGATAGGTCTTTAGCTTTCCAACGAGCTGTGCTTTGTTTTGAAAAGCTCAATATTTCGATTTACGAAAATTTGGACCAACCGAAAAAACGCTTATTTTGGGGTTCCAACTTCAAGCGGCTTGTTTTCTATAAAATAAAGAAAATATTTTWAAAAATTTTGGGCACAGATTTAAGGCTCACTTAGTTCTTTCTGTCAAACGTTACAAAAAGTGAATCAAAGCTTACTTTCATTTTTTTATTAAGCGTTTTTTAGTGGGTGAAGGAGTTTGGGCTACCTGTGGTGACGTTTAAACTATGGCAGCAGCAGTTTATAATCACGATTTTGGGTAAGAAATAATGCAAAAATGGCAAAAGTTACGTCGGATTTACCGAGAAAAAGTGATTTGCTTTACGATACATCTATTTGTTTCRAAATAATTTATTCTAAAATTTAACCGGAATTTTTATCTCTTACCACAGGAATCCCAAGCGATCACAATTATAAGGTCGATTAAAATAACTGATTTATTTCAAAATGCTTAAACTTAAACAAACTTCTAGAAAATTTAATACTGCTGCACAGTAGCTTTGCAATGTGTCATAGATAATTCAGCAATTTATGAAAAACATTTATAATAAAGCGCATTACTCTATGTGCGCATTAAAAATAACGTGCGCTTTCACYTCGAAATAATTGACTAATATTTATCATATATCTTACCTTGAAAATAGACTGCAATGTGAAGCAAAACTTAGATGATAGAAATTGTTCCATAGCAAACAATGTATTGCYTCAATCGTTAAGCACCATCAAGCCTGAAAACATGGAAATAAGTTGATGATGATATAGAGGATATTACATGGGCGCGCGGAGATACGAATTTTATCTTCAAGTGTTGAAAAGATCTCTCACGAGTGAGTGCAGCGAACGAGTGAGAGATTTTCAACACGAGAAGATAAAATTCCTATCTCCAAAGCGGCCATGTAATATTCTGTTTATTATATAATTAGCAACGAACTATGTTTTGGCTTTTTCAGGCAATTCTTTCCGTGTATTTTTGAATACCCATCACAATGGTGTTATTTTCGCACGTGAAAATAACATGTTATTTTCACGTGTGAAGATATCAATTTTTCGAAATAGAGAAAAATAGATATTTCATTGGTAATTATATAATAAAATAAAATAAGTTATTACGAAAACGTTTATTTTCTAACAGATAATCCCGTGTTCAAAGCATTCTTAGATAAATACGTTCAAAGCATTTCACACAGACATAGTGTTGGGATGCCTGTGGTAGGGTTAGAAAAATAGGCACAAAGTTTTTGACTTTTCCTTTCGACAAAAAYATCTATATTGCAAATATCGTTAATTATTCGGTAGGAATATGTAAGAATATTGTACATTTGTTAAAGCTTAGCCATGAAAATTGGTATCATAAACTTCAACATTAAGKTAACTTTCACCACAGGAAGCCCAAACTCCTCCACCCGTCACAAATCGCTTTTTTAAAATATGAAAGAAAGTTGTTATTCAAAATATTTTCTATTTGCTAAAAAGTACTAATAGACCTTTAAATCTGTGCCCGAAAATATTTTGGATTTTTATCGTATTTCATAGAAAACAAGCCGCTTGAAATTGTAACCTTAAAATAAGCGTTTTTTGAGTGAGTCCAAATTTTCGTTAATCGAAATATTTAGATTTTCCACGCACAACACACCTTGTTGGAAAGCTATAGACCACGTCAACATGGTTCTGAACTTTTTTTATTSATTAGAATTATATAAAACATTTTATAGGGGTCGAAATCTTTGAGGAAAATAGGGTTTGGTCAGCGGTATAGTGTTTTCCGCATTTTCTCTATTACGGGAGTTTTTCAATGAAATCAAGTTATTTAATAGATCTTTATACGCGCCATATGTAGGCCTAACAAAATTTCTCAATGATTTGGTAATGTAGGAAAAAACGAGTTAAAATAAAACCTTATTTGGGCTTCCTGTGCAAACTATCAAGCTAAAGAATACCTCAGGAAGCCCGCAATAATGCAAATTGTTGAATGAGTTGCGAAAAAAATAGAGCAAAATTCATATTAATGCTAAAAAAAATCAAGCTACAAATAAATGATTAACACAAACATCAGCTGTAGAAATTCTTTTGAATAACCGCGAAAAGAGAAATGATCACACTGATCGTAAACATCAACCAAATTAAAGCACTTTGTAAACTTCTTAGGAAGCTGGTAACAAGACCTACGTTTCTCTAAAATCCTGTCATTATGTTCATCCATGCGATTGAGCATCGACCTTACCTTTCATCCTTCGTTACAGAAGCTGTAGAAGCTGCACAGCATGTATTTTCTTGATTCATTTTCTACAGTGAATATTGTTTTGACCCGATATTCAAACTATTTTGACTAACAAATAACGYGCTCTCGCTCCTATACAAACACGCGCCCCTTGAGACTAAAATATTTTCGGGTTAAAAGTCAATGCCCATATAATGTAGACAATGAAAAAGCCATTATGATTGAAGATTATTGTTGATACTTCAAAGCAGGATTCCTGATTCACACGTCTTTATTGTTTTAAGACATGAAATAAGCCTGGCTTTCAACCTATCTTTGTTTATATTTGTAGGAAATTTTTTAAAACCCAAAAACAATACTTTCAAGTAAAGTAAAAAACGAATATACACATAGCTGTTAGACCATCCATAGTTTTCTTCCGTTTTCTCGGAGAAGACAGAATAGGATGGGTGTGGAGGGGGGAGGGGGATCAGAGGAGGGGAGGGGTATGGAATAGTAGATACTAGAATGTATAGATTCAAAATCTCAAAAAAGGTTAATTATGAGAGCGTGCCAATGTCAGTTACCTACTTTTTTTTACAGCCCAATACACCTAAATCCAAAATGGCGCACGGCCGGTTGAACACGAGGCATCCAGGGTCAAATTTACAAATCAACAGCATTTTATTATAATTTGATGCTGCAAAATTGTCGCGTTCCTGAATGTAAGTAGAAAAGAAAGACAATACAAGTGTATACTTTGCAATGATACGATATTATTTCTTTGCTTTTGGCCCTGGATGCCTCGTTTACATGTAACACAATCGGCCGTGCGCCATTTTGGATTTAGGTTTATGTCAGTTAATAATTTTACGAGCGCTAGCCACAATATTAATCAAAATTATGAAATATTAGTTAACTATTAACCACTAATTTAGGYTTTTTGTCAGTTAACTACAATTTTTTGGGCCAATTGTCAGTAACTACTAACCCCGATGGCAACCTTTTATACACCAAGTTACATGGCCAAATAAACGATACTAGCACAAGTTATATTTTAAAACAATTTATTATTGTTCTACTCGTACACTCATCACGTGTACAACAGATGCACAATCATCACATGCATGCACAACAGATGTACAATCATCACGTGCATGTACAACACAGATGTACAATCACCACGTACATGTATAACACAGATGCACAATCATCACGTACATGTATAACACAGATGTAACCTTAGTAGCCAACACATGCAACAAAATCTTTTATTAACCTTTTTTCAAATTGCTGTATATTTAGTCATACAGCTATTTTCCCTTGCTGTTAACTAGTCTACCAATTCATAACTGAAGCATAATGAAAATGAAAGTGCATAAATCCCCCCTTAAATTTGTGAATAACTTTTAAAACGAGTGTTTTTTTTGTGTGTAAATATTCTGATCATTTTCATAGGCTTTTCAAATTAAGAAGAAACCATGTAGGTTTTTGGTGTACTTGAGGTAAGAATAAAAAGAAGTCTTGGCCATTCATCATTCAGCTCACATATGCATTACATAGCAAAACCAGGCATGTCTAAAAAAGAATAAAATGATTGCAATAAATAAAGGTTTATCCTGATGTAGCAAGGTGAGTGTTCTACTAAGATATAACACTATAACCATTATTATCAACATCATCTCTAATGTCACTTTCGAAATACACAAAGAACCATGCTCAAATAATAACGTTATAAGCAGTGGAAATGATGACCAGGGATGACACACAATCATGACTAGGGATTACATACAATAATGACCAGGGATGACAGTCAATGATGACCAGGGATGACAGACAATCATGACCAGGGATGACAGAAAAACTTGACCAGGGATGACAGACAATCATGACCAGGGATGACAGACAATCAAGAACAAGGATGACAGACAATCATGACCAGGGATGACAGACAATCATGAACAGGGATTACAGACAATCATAAACAGGGATCTAAAAAAAAAATCTACAGAGCTTTTCGCTGTCGTATCACAGCGTGGGACAATCACAACAGAGCTAGGCTCCAAACTAAGTGAAAGCCCAAAGACCGAATTAGAATTTAGGAGTTGATTTTTGAGGAGGGAGGAAAACCGGAGAATCCTGAGAAAAACCCTTGAAGCACAGGAGAGAACCAACAAACAACTCTACTCACATACGACATCGAGATCGGTAGGACTCGAACTCGGGCCGCATTGGTGAGAGGCGGTGCATTAGCAGCGCACACCACCAGTGCTTCCCACAAATAACAGACAATCATGACCAGGGATGGGGGACAATCATGACCAGGGATGACAGACAATCATGAACAGGGATGACAGACAATCATGACCAGGGATGGGGGACAATCATGACCAGGGATGGGGGACAATCATGACCAAGGATGGGCTACAAATGAATAAAATAATAACAAAAATATGAATCTTATTCTCACTTTTTCAACTGGCAGTGTAAAATCATAGGTACAGCCGGAGGTGCTAGAAGAGGGGCTTTATATCTCTGTCCCTAAAACAAAGGGGAAAAAATAAAATAAGATTTGTAAAAGTTTAAATAAAGCATTTTATTAAAGTCGGAAAGACTGTGTTCCTATCCTGATCAGTTGTTTCAATAAGTTTTACAATAGCAGGCAAAACTAGCAGACTAGGACCAATCAGAATTCATCACAGGGGTAGTGCAGTATAAAATGCCGATGACACCTAATGCAAAATTTTCAGCATTGATTCTAAATGAAGTGAAAAGCTGAATAGTACATTATTTTAATATGGTTTGAATGACGTCAAAGGAGGCAATTCAGTTTATCTGCCATCACATGGAAATTCTTTAAATCCTAAGTAAGACAATGAAGTTTTATACAGGATATTCTACTGTCCAAGAAAAGTTTTGCATATTYAATGACGCCTCCTTTGACGTCACATCATTAACATATTGGAAGTATAAACCTTGAGATCTTTGAGATGCATCACTCAAACCATTTAGAATCAAAGATGGAAATTTTGACTTAGGTGTAGTAGGCACTTTAAGGGATTCAGCACTTTAGAAGTAAGCAAGTTAGGACCTGTACTCTTGTTTGTGCATATTAATGTCCTTCCATCAGTTACTCAGAAAGTGGCTCCGACACTGTTTGCTGCATGATTCAAAGTGCAACACAACTCAGCTTTTCAATAAAAACATGTGAGAAGTGTTTTCTGTGATGCCCAATTAAAAACTGCCATTGCCATTTTATACAAACATCCGAGACAGATCTGCCAAGCAGTTAAGCAACAAAGAGAAGATTAATGAAATAAAAAGGATTATCTATGGTGTTCAAAAATCAAAGATTATACTTATTCATTTGTATCACGGTGGTCGCTCTCCATGCTTTTCAATTCTGCTGTCCATATTGATGATGTTGGGGTGGAGTATAATATGAAAGGCTTCTCTGGTTCTGCGTGTGTACCAGTTGTTGTGTCTGTCGATGCACTTGATGTTCTTCTAATCCGGGGAGTGGTCAGAGGTATTAAGCTAAGCGGAYGTCTATCTCTCTCATGTTCTTTTAGTCTTTCTTATACTGGTTACTTAGTTTTGCCAATGTAGATGCTGTCGCACTCACTGCATGGGAAATTGTAAACTATTCTGTTGCGTCGGCCAGAAGGGACTGGGCATTTCGGGCTAACTATTTGTCTGTGTAGGGTGGTTTCAGGTATCAGTACGGAAACAGATCTGTATTTCTGTTCTGCAGTCTGAGTGGGAATTCTGGACTTAGTGATTCTCTGCAAGAAAAAAAAGATAACCATTAGACATAAATGCAGACCCAAGATGTTGTTTCGCTTACCTTTGTATTTGGCTTTGTGATGATATGAAGGGCTCTGTCATAGAGACATTTGATGACTTTTTACCGTCTGTGGATGGTGAGAGTGGTATGCGAGATATTGGTCCATGTACATTGGCTTATGGTAGACACTGGTGGAAAGGCGGCCTTTGGGTTCCCTGTGTACCATGGTGTMAAGGAAGGCAATATTGTTTTACTCTGTCTCCATGGTTAACCGGAAGGTGGGCTGCTGGCTGTTAAGATGGGGTTACAGCATGTCTATGTTGGACCAGTCAACAATGATAAAGGTATCATCAATGTAGCGCTTCCAAACGCTTGGCTTGTTCTCAACGCAGCATGTCTGTAGGGCCTATTCTTTGAAGACCTTCATGTAAAGAATATGGATGTCAGCAAATGCTGGGCTTCCCATGACAGTACCTTCTTGTGGCTCGTACGAAAAACCTTGGTACATACTACGGATCTCATCGAACTGTGACAGGTCATTAAAAATTCATGTCTCTACCACGCCCACTTTTGTGTACTGACACGCCCACATTTGTAAGAAATTTCTCACTGTGCCGAGTCTTCGGGGAAGATGGACGTAAGTCTCTGAGCTCCGTAAGAAGGGAGGTCAAAAATGTCAAGGCTACAGAGTTGCTTCTCAAAGAAARCTCTATTGTTCTGGAGAAAGGAGAGGGTACTACAACTGTGGCTTAGCATCTACTCAGCTGGCTCACATGTCTCTGTGGGATGCATTGTTTCCACATTATCTAAGGATTGAAACATTTAAAGTCAACCACCAGTTGTAGTCAAGCAACACCAAAAATTTAGTTATCCCTCTTGAAACTGCAACTTAGAATCAAGATTGCTGTTCCATGCTCTTTATTGCAATCTTCATAAACATGCAAGATCTGTGTCTGTGAGCTGCATGCTCAAATTTGTTTTTTACTGTCGTCAATCAAACCTAATCAGTTGCTACCTTCAATATTTTTGACTGGCGGCAGCGAAAAACCAAATTTCTGAGTGCTACTCGGAGATACAGTTTATATGCTTACAAATACACGTTTACAAATACTGACATTCTCCACTGAAGAGGCAATTCCAATGTTAATGAAAGTAGATGGAGTAATTAAAGAAAGGCTGAAGGTGACAACAAAAATGATGAAAAGTAAGAGGGAAAAGTATGGCTATTCTATGGCATACAAGAAGGCTGAACGAAAGAGTAAAAAAAAGTGCATCAAAAGACAAAAATAATGAGGATGAGGATCAAATCAACAACAGTGAAGAGAATAAGCATAATGAAGACAGTGGACAGAATGAGGACAACGAAGAGTGCAACAGTGGGCAGAATAAGCTCAATGAAGAAAGTGGACAGGAGAAAAACAACAAAGAGTTCAAAAGTGCAGGGCAGAATAAACCCAATGAAGTAAATGGACAGAAGAAAAACAATGAAGAGTGCAACAGTGGACAGAATGAACCTATAAATGAAGATGAGGACAACTGCACACAATGTGTAGACACCAGTAATGATGAGTGGCACACTGAAGAGGAATTTCAAGATCAGATGGACAGCGACTCATGGTCATGAATTGAAGTATATTGCCATACAGATTTTGAAACAAACCAATGTTACTGTTATGAAAAATTGTACCATGGAGTGATTTCATTTAAATTGGCCAGCATGAATATCACTCAATGAAAAAAATGATCAAAGTGTTCCAAGTAATCCTGTGCCGAAACAGCTACAATATTCATTTTTTATGTATTTTATAAATGCTTATGTATCCATATATGTTGTACATAAATAAATAATTAGATACATGCATTGATTGTTTTTATCATACTCATCAGTGTTTCTTTCATCTTCACTGCTGAATCCAATAAAATYAWTTAATACTTTTACATTCATATTTAGTGTATATTCCTGAGAATGAAATTTATTTCTGCGCCAGCATAAAAGTTGGTCTGCGGATTTATGCATAGCACCCAGTCCCCCTATAAAACTTGAATGAGGTACAAAAAATCTCCACTAGAACAGTGGTTCGATAATCGAGTCAAGACACTCAATGGAAAAGAACAAAAACAGAAGAGCTTGCTGCTTGTGAACATCAGAAAATCTCATAATCTATTTGTAGAGGAGTCTGGAATTAATATTGGACTCACTTTTACGTGGTTTTTACATAAGCATAAGCATAAACACAAGCATAAAGCCAGTGAGGACGGGGACGACATAAGCATAAGCACAAGAAAAACAAGACAAGTTTGATTTTCTTGTGCTTATGCTTATGTCCAGTTAGGACATGACCAACATCAGCATAAGCACAAGCACAAGCCGATAAACCAATCACAAAGAACTTTGTCCCAACATCAACAAAGAAATCRGACCGTTCAAGGCTTAGTTTGGACAAAAGTTTAGCAGAAACTGTGAGAATGATTTTAAAGACAAAGCTAAAAAAGAATTAGCATGGCAAGACGTCGTGCAGAAACTTGGTTTTCCTTCAGGAAAATTTTGTAGTGCTTGTGGCAAGGATTCTTGGCACACTGTACTGTCATATTTGATTCTAAGTTCACTGTTGTTTTTTTTAATTGAAGCATCAAGTTTTTTATTTTTTAAATTTCTATTACAGAGGAGCAGTGCAAAAACTCTTATGTCGATAGCTGGGACGTACGAATAACAAATTGATATCACATTCCCTTCAATATTTCATGAAAATTTAAGCTTACACAAAATATTTTTAGGATTACACTAAATATATTTAGGATTCAAGTGATTTAAGTCTTAACCCTTTCACCAAAGTAACCCGCTTTTCCGGGATTGTAATTTTGTTTCCCGTACGAACTATCCCGGTTTTCCRGGAATTCGATCGTTTGATGTTTGGGAGCTGGAAACTACCGGTTAATTGGCTCTAGAGGGGCCTAAATCATATTGACGAAATCTATAATGCTGAAACCCCAAAGGCACGTGCTTTCCGCCATATTGTGTCATATGATATTTTTGATGAAGAAGCTATGAAAGGTTCGGATGAAGCGTGCGTTTACGGGCGCCATTTTTTAAAAACCAAACGTTGTTATGAGTGATTCAGAGGACTCAGAAAGTTCAGAGAGTGATTCTGACGAGGATTTAGAGGATATCTTTGGAGAATCGAGTGATGAAGAAGATTTTGGAGGCTTTGTTTATGAAATAC